GGCTTGGCTAAGTAACTGTCTCTCTCCTGGCCGCGTACCGGAAACGAAAAAAACAGTTCTGAGCCTTGCTTCACAAGTCAGGGCAGCGGAATTCTTTGACCCTAGCTGGGTTTAAAGGGAAGGAGATGCAATATGCCTTCAGCGACCATTTCAGCAGCCCGTAGTCCTCCTCAGTGCAGTCCTCCTCTCAGCTACTGCCAGCATCCTCATGATTTCCACGCAAATGGCTGTTGTGCAGGCCCAGAGGACAAATGAGATCCAACGCCCACCCCAAAGGGCTTGAACTCAAGGAAACTGCTGAGTGTTGGCTCTGGGCCCAGTTCAACACCTACTGCCCTGTGGAAGGGGCATCCCGCTTAACACTTACAGCCCTCTGTGAGGCAGAAGCTATTATTCCTGTAAGTCCCTGGGCTCATCCCTCCAAAGGGGTCACAACAGCAGTCCTTCTCAACTCCTGAGGAAGGCTGCGGAGATTAATGAGGTAAATCCGACAGCGCCGGGAGACATTAGAAAGCACAGAGCGTGATACAAGTCCGACTGTTTACTGATGTAGTCAAATGCAGAAAAAACAGGGCTTCTTTTAGTCCATATGAGACAAATGGTGACTGTTATTACTGTTCAGTATCAAATTCCTCCTGGTGAGAGTTACAAATGCCACCCAAAACGGCATGGCTCCTTCCTTCTAAGGAAATATGGCCAGACACTTTTACCAGGGGCCAGGTTTTGCCTGGCACTCCTCTACATTTTTACCCCATTTAGTTCTCATGGCAAGTAGAGAACATCAGGATTATGATTTCTAAGTCTAGCTCCTGCCTCTGGGAGGAGACAGTCACAGTAACCCTCACCACCCCCAGAGGACATTGATAAGTAACCCAGGGCCAAAGCTTCCCAATCCATGCTCCATGGTGGTGTGTGCCATGAATAGTTTATGTGCGTCCCTGAAATATACGTCTTGCTGGTTCTAGAGTGGCCAACCAGGGTCTGAGGCAGCCTCCTCTGTTCACATCAATGTCCCATACAAATTACTGCCCCCAAATGGCTAAGAACCACTGGCTTTGAGCCCCACCTTCACACCACACACCAAAATGTTACACACTTGGTATGTGTGTTATCATGTAGTAAGAAAAATAAATATAATAGAATATGTATCCACTCCCTCCCCAGTGGGGCAGAATACCGTTGATATCCTTTGTCACTGAGAGCCTTTAAAGGTAATTTTCACCAACACATCAGCTCTATGAATTTTAGCAGAGTCCAAGTCCAGACCTGACGTCTGCAGTTCCCCACTGAATCCTGCTTCACCACCTGTGATCCCTATCTTGGTAATGGCAACCCCAGGCTAAAGGTCACTCAAGCAGGAAACCTGGGTGTCATCCTTGACCCCTCTTTGCCCCTCCCCCCAGGCCCATCTCCAATCTAAGACAGCGCCATCCTATCTATCCTATGTAGAACATCTCTCAAATCACGCCACATCCCTCCACCCACTCTTCCACTACTTTTTAGCCTACTTCTAAAACCCACAAGTGAGTGGGTGTCCTGTGGGTGCAGTTTCTCCATCTGCCTGTCTTTCGTCTGTGACTGAGACCAGGAGTTTCTGAAGATGGCCAGTGATAAACACAATTGACTGGCATTGTCGTGGATACAAGCAAGGGCCATGTTGGCTCCCACTGGCTAGATCTCAGTACATTTCCTCACACTGGAGTCACAGAAAAACCAAGTGCCTCTTTATAATTGATGCAGGGAGGGTGGGTCAGCCTTTTGCGGGAGTGTTCCTCAAGAATGTGCTCTCTCTTTGGGAAGGCTGAAAGATTGAGTTGCCCACCCTGGGAAGCTGAGGGTCCCACACTTGGGGTCCCAGTGAGATGCAGTTTTCCCCATACCATAAGGAAAAAGAAGGTGAATGTGATTTGACAGGGGTCCTTATGAGGTCCGCTCACTCATTCGCCCGTGCCCAAGAGGCCCACCAGTAGATTCCATCTTTTACGTGAGACTGGTGGTTTTCAGACCATACTCAGGAGCACCCCCAGAGGTCTGTAGAATTGCCCCAGGGGACCACAGGGAGCAATGGGGGGACCATAGCAAAGGAAGAGAGCTCAGAACTTGGGCTCAGTCCTATTTCCCATAACAAAAATGGGAAACTGGTGACGCACACTTTTCCTACTGCTGACCTGTCTGTCCCCTTCCTCCACGTAATGTCCCTGTGTGCAGTGATTTTCCTCTGACTGCTCAGGGGGTAATGGAGCCCTTCTTGAGGTGCGCAAATTCACTTGTTCCTAGTCATGTCTGACAGTAAGGTGGGGGGCATATTTGCTGCTTGTCGGGTGATTCGGGAGCAATGGGGAAAGGGTACGGCGGATGTGGCTCTTTTTCCCATTGGGTTACCCCCATCGTTTAATTAGTAGGAATAATTCCCCAGTCGGGGCTGGTGTGGGATGAGATTAGACAGTGGGCAGTGGCAACTGTCTCCAGGAGACACTGCCACCTAGGAACCTGACTCCCTTAAGGTTTTAGCTTTCTTGGGTGTGAGACTGCAAGTACAGAATCCCTGTCCCTAAGGAGATGAGCTGTGACACACAGTGAATCAGGACCCCATGGCTGCTAGCTGGGGAGAGCGGTGCATGCTTAGGCTGCACTGCTGTAATAGAAGGGCCCTTGCCTCGGATGGACCAGGGACCGGATGCTGGCTCTGTCACTCGCTGGTGATGTGATCTCTGAATGATGCTCACATGGCTCACCTGGTTTCGGGTGATTGAAGAATAAACCAAATATGTGTGAAGCCCTGCCAACATACCAGGCTGAGTAATGCTTGGCAGAGTTGAGGACAAATGTTGCCATCTCCCCAAGGGTGCCCAGGATTCACTAGGCTACAGCACCAGAGAGCATGAGGATGGATGGGGCACACACACACACAAAATCATGCTCAATCTCTTGCTCACTCATCCACTCTAAGGGTCATCTGTTCGCTGGGAGCCGGGAGATCCTGCTGACCCCACACCCTCTCCTGAGGAACTGGCCACTTTCCTCACCTACCTGAGCCATTTGTTTGGGTGCAAGGATTGCGACATTATGCAGCTGGGGGCGGTGGTGGGGATGTTAGCAAAGGAGGAGAACTCAGAACTTGGGCTCAGCCCTATTTCCCATAACAAAAATGGGAAACCAGTGACCCACGCCTTTTCCTACTGCTGACCTGTCTGTCCCCTTCCTCCACGTGATGTCCCTGCTTGGGTTTCAACTGTGGCTGCCGAGTTGTGTGCTGTGTTTATCCATCAGATTTTGCCATATTCTTTCTGGTTTCACATCCTAAACACACATATCACACACATACACAGACACACAGAGACTCTGCTTGTCACTTCCAGTCATGTCCAGTAACTGATGTAACAGCAGTTACAGAAGAAGGAATGCCCATCAGGCTCCCCAGCCCTCCCTGAGTGTTGGAGTTCCTTTCCTCTTTTGACAGGGCTGATTCCCAGGAATGTGAGATCCCACCCCCTTTTGGAGGAGCGGTGACATGGAGCTGAGCGTCCCCACTGAGTTGGGGCCCAGATTAGGAGAGCAGAGGCATTCTGGGGAGAGGGGGTGTTTCCTAGGCCATCACGAGCAGCTGCTGAGATACCAGAGCTAAAACAAGCCAGTCACACTAGGACTGTACCTATGGGTCCCACCTTGGCAGCCCTCTGTGATGTAGGAAGAGGGCTATGGGACTTCCAAATGCTGTCTCCTACCTGAACCCTACCTCACCTGGGCTTCAATAGTGCTTAAAGACACTGGACCCCTAAGCAACTAAAGGGCAATAAATTCACATAGCAGGCCCTGCCAAAGTACTTTTTCCTCTCCTGCGCTTCCAAATGGGACTAGTGAGTCAGGGAGAAAGCATATTTTGGGGTCCTTGTGTGCTAGTTAGGCTCTTTGATACTAAAGGATACATCCAATTTCCTTGCCCATTGGCCTGGGGCTTCTAGATGTTGCAACATCTAACAGAGTGGACAAATAGGATATTAACCAACCCACCACCACCACTGAATACACCAAAAATTTCCAGATTTATTTCAGTCCTAATGAGAGAGAAACAGAAGCAAGTAAAGGAATGTGGTGGAAGAGAGGATGGGTCAGCTTCTTATGGAAGTGTGTTCTCCTCCGGGCAGGCTAAGACATTAGAACTACCCACCAGGCAAAGCTAAGGGTCCCATTCGGTGGGTCCCAGTGGGATTCAGCTTCCTATCCAGTAAGGAAAGGGATTAATATGATTTGGTGGAGGCCTCTCTGAGGGCCACTCATGCATTACCTGTGTAGGAAGGGCCCACCGTTTGTCCATTGGCCTGGGGATTCCAGGTGTTGCAATAGCTAACAGGGCTCACACATGTTGGGTTTAAGGGACAAATATGTTCCAATTCCCTGAATAGGCTTCCTCTGCTGATATTATGTTGCAGTACATATCAAGGTCACCTTAGGGAGACAGGGAAAAAAAACCTTTATCATATGGAAATGAACAATCTGTAGCTAGAGGCAAGGTTGCCTGTTGGAGGTACTCTGTCTTGTGGTGGAGTGAGGGTGCTTGGGAGCTGACTATATGTATACGAATCTAAGAGCTTTTCTTAGGATCCATACATTCTTTTTTCATGTGTCCCTCCCCCTCCATATAAACATGGCCCAGCTGTTCTCAGATACTAAGGCTGTGTGTGGTGCTGGGGAAAGAGAGATGTTATTTCCTCTTTGTTCCTGCACTCATTTCCCCCATCAGAGTCAGAGCAGTCCTCTGTGGAAAATTCAATCTTCACTGGCAACTGTGACTGAGGAGCCAGCAGCACTGCTCCAAGAAGGAGGGTGTATGGACTCCTAAGGCTAATTAAGATGCTAGCTCACTCCCTCCACCACCCGAGCACCACCACAACCGATAACCCCCAAGTCACCTGAGGCTGGTGTTGGTGTTGAAAGTTACATTGTTGAAAAGTTGAAGCAGAAACAGTCAAGCATGTCAGCATTTATTTCAGGCCCAGCAACCCACTGGAGGAACTGGGGAAAGCAGGGGCATGTGGCAGCAGAGGGCGATTGATCACCATTCATGGGTCTATGTCTGTGGGTCTCATGGTCTCAATTTCCAAGTGTCTGGTGTCCTCCCCTACAAAGGCAAAACAGAATGGCAGCCGGACTCCTGGGAACTCTGGGGAAGTCAGGCCTGGCCTGGAGGCTCTCTGGGTGGAAAGGGAAGGGGAGGTGCATCGGTTTGGTTCAGAGCAGTGAAAGAGGCAGAAGCTGATTTCAAGCTCTCACCTGAAGCACTTGGTGAAACATGCTAGGGTTCTCTGGAACCAGCTACTCCAAGATTTTCAGAGACCAGCAGGCTCCCCGGGTGAGCCTGTGCCGCTGAATGGGCTCTCTGTAGTGTCAGACAAAACAACACATTACTCAGTGTCTTTAAGCCTGCCCTTCACGTTTTGCCAAAATCAAAGGAAGAAGGAAAGAAAGAGAGAGAGAGAGAGAGAGAGAGAGAAAGGAAGAAAAGAAAGAAGGGGAAGGAAGGAAGGAAGGAAGGAAGGAAGGAAGGAAGGAAGGAACGAAGGAAGGAAGGAAGGAAGGAAGGAACGAAGGAAGGAACGAAGGAAGGAAGAGAGGGAGGGAGGGAGGAGTAAGGGTAAATATCCTTGTCCTAATGGTGCCCTCCTTCATTACTTTATTCAACAAGTATTATGTTCATCCCCAGCGCGGTTCCAGGTACTGGGGATACAGCAGTGATCTCTACAGACAAAACCCTGGCCCCCTGACATCCCATGACAAAGACCATGAAGGGACATCAGACTCACCAGGTCAGGAGGTGGAAGGAAGGGAGTGCAGATCATGCTTCCAGGAGAAAGTGATGTGCCAGTAGTGACCAGCAGGACTTCCTTGAAGAGACCAGCAAAACTCCTTACTCTGCTGCATGCAAAGCAGCTGAGGGCCTGGCCCCAAAATGCCTCTGCCCCAGCCCCTGGGACTCCGCCCTGTCTTTCCTCCCTCCTACAGCCAAGTGCACTGTGCTCAAGCAGTGGGTACATTTCTGGCATGTGACATCCCTCTGTTCCTGTGTCTCATACTCCCATACCTTCGATCTCTTTTTCTCTCTTTCTTTCTCTTTCTCTCTTTTTCTCTTCTTTCCTCTGAACCTCCCATCAGGCTCAAGATGGGTTTCTACTTGCTAAGCAATAAAAGCAGAGGTGTTCAAGGCAGATGGTGAGTTGTCATTTGGTGGGGATGCCATAGACAGGAGTGTTCATGTGGGGCCTCCCCACATTTAGATTCATAGGGTTATGCACATCAAAGTCCTGGGGAAGTATAAGGTTCCAAATGTGTTATCAAAGCCAGGAGGGTGAGCTGGGTGATGGCATCGACAGTCACAACGAACAGCAGAGGTTTTCCTCTCAGAGGGTTATGTGAGATGCCGCATCAGGTGGGTAGTGGACACATGGTATTGGGCTTGAAGGGCTTGGAAAATGTGAGGGACAGAGAGGAAGGGCCTGGGCATGGCTAAATTGAAAGCAGAACAACTGAGGTGAGAGCTCCCTGTTGCCTAGTCCTGTGATATGAAATTCCATCTTTGACACTTGAGTTTCAAGCAAAGCTGCCTTGTTATGCCCGCTGTTTGCCACCCAGGACTATGACAGTGTGTGCCACTGGCTTCAAGGGAGCTTGCTGGAAACTCAAGTTGATTTTGCATATGGTGTGATTTTGCATTTTGAGTTGATTTTTTGCATATGGTGTGAGGTAGTATCGAACTTTGTTTGTGGTTTCTTTTTCCATTTGGGAGGCAAAGAGGAAGTAGGTGGCTTCAGAGGCCTTTATTTGGTTTTTGAAATAATAATGTTGTTTAGGAAAGCATCTCTTATATAACTGAGGAGATACAGGGCTGATCTTCTCTGGGAGCCTATCATGGGCTGTGGCCTGGGGTTATAGAAGTGAATGAGACTTGCTGCTTCAAGCCATTCTGTGGGAGGGATGCCAAGAAAAGGATGATTACAGCAGAGAGTGGTGGAAGGAAGTTTATGCAGCTATCGGAGGACCGGAGGACCGAGGAGGGGCAGACACCCGGCCTCGGGAATTGGAGTATATATAGTCTTGGAGATTTCCCAGAGGAGGCACGCCTGAAATGAGTGAGGAAAGAAGCTGGCCAGGAAATAGAGAGAGGGGAGAGCTTCGCAACCTAAACCCAAGACAATAAAGTGAGTTCATATAACTGGAAACAAGCAGATCCAGGTTTCTGTTCTAGGGGTTAAGTAGAAGTCAAGGTCAGTCATGAGGTTCCAGTACGTGAGTAGAAAATGATGGGTCACATAGATACTGAACTCTGGTTTTTGAGATGCAAAAGTTTTTGTTTTTAATTTTGATAACAGTCCATTGATTATTTTTCCTTTGTGATTCCATGCTTTCTGACTGAATGTCCCACCTGACGTATCTTTGCCTAACCTCATGACTCAAAAGTGTTCTCTTATATTTTCTTGTAGGTTTTCAAATTTACAATTTACACTTAGATCTATCATTTATTTTGAGTTGATTTTTTGCATATGGTGTGAGGTAGTATCGAACTTTGTGGTTTCTTTTTCCATTTGGAGATCCACTTTCTCCAGCACCACCAGTTAATTATTAATTAATTTAATAATCTTAGCACTTTAGTCCCAGATCAACTTACCATCTATGTGTAGGTCTATTTCTGGGATTTCTATTTTATCCATTGGTCCATGTGTCTATTTTGAGTGTGGTGACATCACTCAAAATCACTGTTGTGATTACCATACCCTTATATTAAGTCAGGGAATTTGGTAGAGCAACCCCTCTATCTTTGTTCTTTTCCAAATGGTTTTGGCTATTCTATGTCTTTTGCATTTCCATGTAAGTTTTAGAAGTAGCTTTCCATCTTTGGTGCATTTGATTACGGCGAATCTATAGATGCATTACCTGAGAATTTACATCTTAAGCCTTTTTTGGTCTTCTGATCTATGAGCACAGCATCTCTCCATTTACTTAGGTCTTCTTTAATTTTTCTCAGCAATATTGTATAGTTACCTGCATGCGAGTCTTGCCCAGATGTAAATCCCAGACATTATATCATGTTATGTGTGTTATGTTATGTTATGTTGTTATATTATATTATAAATTATATTATATTATATATTGATATTGTGACATTAAACAAAATTTGCATCTCCAGTTATAGTTCCTAGAATATTGAAATGAAAAGGACTTCCCTATATTGACTTTCTGTCCTGTCATCTTGTTAAATTGCTTATTAGACCTGGGATATGATTTCCATTTTTTTCTAGATTACCAAGCATTTTCCATGTAGACCATCATGCCTTCTGAAAATAAAGACAGTTTTTGACTTCTTCCTTTTGTATCTGTATGCCCTTTATCTCTTTGTCTTCTCTTATCTCGTCAACTAGGACCTCAAGCATATGGTTGAATAGACGTGGTGAGAGTGGACATTCTGCCATATTCCTCATCTTGCGGGAGAAGCATTCAGTCTTTTACCACTAAGTATGATGCCAGCAGCAGGTTTTTGGCAGAAGCATTTTATAAGGTTGAGGATGTCCCCTTATGTTCTTAAGTTGCCAGATGTTCTTACCATGAGTGGGTGTTTTATATTATCAAATGACTTTTCTGTCATATACGGTGATGATCATTGTTTATCTTTCATTTCCTTAATATGGAAAAATACATCAGTGCATTTTTTTTTTACGTTAAAATGACCTGGCATTCTTAGGGTAGACTCTGTTTGGTCATGGATTATACTTTTCATGCATCACTGGATCGAAATTTCTAAAATTTCACTAGGACGTTTTACATCTATGTTCATCAGGGATAATGGCCTGTAGTGCTCTTTCCCCCTTGTAGTGTCTTTTGTTTTTATATTTTTCATATAAACATAATGCTACTCATAAAATTAATTGGCAAGAATTCCTCCAAGAGTATTTTCTGGAAAAATCCTGTAGGACTGTTACTATTTTTTTCTTTTAGATGTGTGATACCCTTTGCCAGTGAAACCATCTAGGACTGACATTTTCTTTATGGGAAAATTTTGAATTACAAAGTAAATTTTTATAATCTTTTTATTTTAATGAGATCCTTAGAGATAATCAACAATTAAGTGTATGTAGTTATTAGACAATAATGCAATTATAACCAAACACTATCATTGGTAAAGCCTTAACTATATTCCTAATGAAAATTTTGCCTTTGGTATCTATATCTCTATCTCTATCAGAAATTTCTTGCCAGGGTAAGGTAATTTTCCATGAGACGGAGTCTTTCTTTCTTTCCTCATTATGGTAAAATATACATAGCATAACATTTACTATTTTTACCATGATAAGTATAAAATGCAATGACATTCAGCACATTCACATTGTTGTGCAATCTTCCCCACCATCCACGTCTAGAAGCTTTTGATCATCCCAACCTGAAACCCTGTGCCCAATAAACAATAACTCTTCCATGCCTCTCTCCCTGCAGACCCTGGCAATCACGATTCTGATTTCTGTCTCTATGAATTTGACTACTCTAAGTACCTCACGTAAGTGGAGCCATATGGTAATTGTCTCTTGGTATCTGGCTTAGCACAGTTTCTTCAAGGTTCATCCATGTTGTGGCATACACCAGAATTTCTTTCCTTCTCAAGCCTGAATAGTATTGTGTTGTATGTATGTACCACATTCTGTTTATCCTTTTGTCTTCCAGTGGACACCTGTGTTGTTTCCACCCTTTTCTGTTTGAGTCCCTGTTTTCAATTTTTTTGCTTTTGGTGTTATATACCTAGAAGTAGAATTGCTGGATAACATGGCAATTCTATACCTAGTTTTTTGAGGGGCCCCCTTACAGTCTTCCACAGCAGCTGCACCATTTTACATCCCCACCAGTAATGCACAATGGTCCCCATTTTCCACATCTTTGCCAACACTTGTTATTTTCTGTTTTAAAGAATAATAGCCACTAGAAGTGATATCTCATTGTGGTTTTGATTTGCATTTGCCTAATGACTAATGATGTTGAGCATTTTAGGATATTTTTTCTATCTCTACAAAAATAAATGTCATTGGGATTTTGACAAGGATTGTGTTAAATCTTTAGAGTGCTCTGGGCAGAGTTGGCATGTTAATAATATGAAGCCTTCCAATCCATGAGTACAGGATGTCTTTCCATTTATTTATGTCTCTCTTAATTTATTTCAGCAATGTTTTACAATTTTCATTGTACAAGTCGTTCACCTGCTTGATGAAGTTCATTCCCAAATACATTATTCTTTTTAATATAAGTGGAATTATTTCATAGTTACCTTAGCGGATTGGTCATTGTCAGTGCGTAGAAGTTTAAGTGCTTATTGTATGTTTGTTTGTATGCAGCGAGCTTTCTGAATTAGTTTATTAGTTCTAATAGTTTTGCTTTTGGAGTCTTTAGGGTTTTCTCTATATAAGTTCATGTCACCTGTGAGCAGATAATTTTACTTCCTCCTTTGCAATTTGGATGCCCTTTGTTCCTTTTGCTTGCCTAACTGTTCTGGTTAAGGCTTCCAGTACTATGTTGAATAGAAATAGTGAAAGTAGTCATCCTTATCTTATTTCCGATCCATGAGGAAAAGTTTTCATCATTCCACCACTGAATGTGATATTAGGTGTGCATTTTCCGTCTATGGCTTTTATCACATTGAGGAACTTTCTTTCTATTCCTACTTTGTAGATGGGTTTTATCATGAGTGGGTGTGAATTTTGTCAAATGCGTTTTCTGCACAAATTGAGATAATGTGGGTATTTTTTCCCTTCATCTGTTAATGTGATGTGTCACACTGATTGGTTTCCTATGTTAACCTATCCTTGCATTCCAAAAGTAAATTCTACCTAGTCATAGTGTATAAGCCTTT